CACACCCACCTGGTCCCCCACTGAAATGGGCGGGATAGAAGCAGGAGGAGATTCTTAAAGAGGCCAATTTCAAGGCGTTTAGAAGAGGAAGTGATGAGAAGATAAGTTTATTTTATATTTAAACATAAAAACAGCATTTTAATTACAGCTAAAGGTGACATTGATACTTTATTATGGTATAGTACAGAGGTGCCAAAAGTGGGGCCCGTGGGCCAAAAATTGGCCCTTCAAGCCATTTAATTTGGCCCTCCAGCAGTTGCCCAGATAGGCTGTAATCTTCTGTCGCCCTATGTAGAAACACTTTATTTAATCCATTGACCCAATGACTATATAAGGGGCTAGTTTCATTCGATACTTACTTTATCCTTGAATTACATTATGATTAAACATAAAATACGAATACCTATAAGATACATTTAGATCATATTAAAACACATAAATATCTGCATACTTTATAAGACCAGAAATACCCATATTTTATCAGTTTATGAAATGTCCCATGAGCCTTTGCTGCCTGAATGTACATCAAAGGGCTAAAAAAATAAGTATTTGAATTTCATGTATTACAGTACTGCATTTGGCCCACAGCTCTTGGACAGATTTTCATTTTGGCCCTTTTGGGGAAAAGTTTAGGCACCCCTGGTATAGTATTTAAATATATGCCTGAGAAACACATAATATTGGCCCTTTAAGAGCTGGAAAAGGTGAGGGGCCTCCCTGCTTAAGCTGCTGCCCCTGGACCCAACTCCCGAACAAGCGGCAGATAATCTGAATGGATGGCTTTATCATGCTAAAAAGAGTTACAGCTGTTTAGCTTAAGACTTGCTGAATCACCTGTCAAATTTAAAATAACTGTGTAATGATTTAAAACTATCACTGACCATAAACTACTTCTTGCATGTCGATTATTTTACCTGGGAAATCCCACCACTAGGGCAATTTTTCTGCATTATTGACAGCTACTTTTGCTACGGCTCAGTTGTATTGGGAAGTTGGAATTTTCCACTTACAAAACGTAAATTCAAACTGAAATGACCCTGCCAGTGGGAATTCCCTGTCAGAAAGTGGGAGAGTTCAGTATTCAAGACAGAGGCTACTCACCACAACTCAACAGTGTATTTCTGTCATATTTATTTCGCAATTAAGACAGTCGTACATATAGTACTTTTCAGTGTTTGTAAGAGGACACGTTAAAATGCTGTTTCTATGGAGGAAATACCACGTAGAGCTCAGTAATTGTTAGTGGTGCTCAGCTGTAGCAATGACACGAGGAACGTTGTGCGTTTGGTCGAAGTTAAATATGAAACATGGAAGTAAATTACAACTGACACTTTGAGGACAACCATAGTTCTCATGTGTCCCTCAGTGAAAATGAGTTTGTCACCCCTGCTTCAAATGATTTATAAGTGCCTGTTGTTTGTGTTGGGGTCAGCTGGTACCAGAGGTACAGTATAGTAGGACATTCATCTCATGAGACGGAACAAGAAGAGCTACTGGGTCTATGAATTGACACCATTTTTTAAAAGGGGGGCTATTAGGTATTTTCACTGCAAAAACTGTCCACCTAACCAAGTTTTAAAATCTTATATCAGCCAAAAAGTCTTTTTGATCTTGTTTTGAGACTGATTTACTAAACAAGAACTGATTGTGTAAGAATAATAATCTTGTTTTCAGAATGTGTAAGATTATTTGTCTTGTTAGTCTGAAAATTTGACTCAAATTTTTTCTTATTTCAAGAACCTTACCAAGTAAAATTTTCTTACTCCACTGGCAGAAATTTTGACTTAATTTGAGTC